AAAAAAAAAAAGAATTAATTTGCGATATCAAAGTAAAAGAAAATACCCAGATACTCCACAAGAAATCGTTTTATCAGGGAACTAAGGGTTTGGCAATTAGTTCCACAAAAGAATACCTGTTAATGGAAAATATTGATGATTCTACTACACTATATGTGTGTGTGTGTGTGTGTGTGTGTATACACACATACATATATATATATGTGTGCATATATATATATATATATATATATATATATATAAAACAAGGAAATAAAAGCTATAAGCCATAAAATATTAGCTAGTAATCATGTTTCTAATAAAAGTGAAGGTTGGAGAGGTTAAGAAAGTTGCCAAAGGTCCCATGGCTAAAAAATTGCACCGTCAAATTTTGAACTCAATCAGATTAAAGACATTGCACTCTGCTATAATGCCAGAAAGGAAACCTACATATTAATTTTAATTTTTAAAGGTACTCCTCCCATATCCTCTTTAAATTCTAGTCTTGATGATTCTGTACCTGCTATTCTCATGGCCTGAGATACCCTCACTTCTTAAACCTCAACTTGAGTTCAGCATTCCCTGGCCCCCAGGGAGGTCAATCTACTGCTACAGCCTCTCCTGGAGCTGTGGCTCTTCCTTCCCAACACTGGCCACAGAAGTGCTGGCGCTGAGGGCTGTCATGATGACACGTCCATGCCAGCAGCTCTGAGAGCACCCTATGAAGGTGCCTTGCAAAAAGAGGTTAAATGTAGGAAGGAACGATACTACTAATAGAAACTTAAAAGTGAATGTTACAGTACAGAATCTCAGAGAAGCAGCAGAAAGAAGTCTAAAAATGTCTTGATGAAATCATTTTACAAATGTGGTTAAATATGTCCACACTAAAGCCTTCTCTAGGCTTGCCCTAATACAGCTTCAAAACAAGTCTCAGTGGCATCCAGCTGAACCCATCAAAGTTAACTATGCATCATGACAAAATCCAACATTACTGGATTTATAAATGTTTCTCAGTAAAATCTAGCAACTAACCACACAAAATTCTTTATGATTGTCATCCAGTAAAATATTACCTAATGTAAAAGATAAAACCTTTCCTTCTTTAACTTTAGGTGTCAGGTATTTTGTTTCAGTAACTAAGACAGATATATAGTATAAAATAATAAATAATAACAAATGCAGATAAGGTTTCAGAGGGAAAAGAAGCCTTCTACATTGTTGGTAGGGAGGTAAACTAGTACAATCACTATGGGAATCAGTATGGAGACTTCTCAAAACACTAAAACTAGAAATTCCATTTGGCCCAACTATTCCCCTTCTAGGGACAGAGCACTTCAGTTCCATCCCTAGAACCACAAAAAGGAAGGAGGAGGATTAAGAGAAAGAAGGTAAAGAGGCCTGACTGCATCTTCAAAACGCGTTACAGACAACATGTTACAGTGACACATGTATACCTATGTTCTTTGCAGCATAATTCATAATATCTAAATCTTGGAAGCTGCCTATATGCCCATCAACAGATGAATGGATAAAAAAAAGTGGCATTTATACACAATGAAGTACTATTCTATCATAAAGAAGAGTAAATTTGAGTTATTTGGGAAAATGCATGCACCTTGAGACCACAATATTAAGTGAAATAAATGAGAAACACAAGCTTAAATATTGCATGGTTTCTCTTATATGAGAAACCCAAACTATAAATAAATTAAAGAGCAAAATAAAAGATAAATAATAGGAAACAGGGATAAATCTTTTGCAAATGGGAAGGGGACCAAGAGATGGATGGAGGGGTAGAAGAGGAGGAAAAGGAGATAAAAAATAAGTAAGATGTGTTACGTATTTGTACTAACTCCCTGCGATGAATGTAACCATTAAGTACAGCAAACATGTGCTAATAAAAAAAAATTTTAAAGAGCAAAAATAATGACAATACACTGTGGAATTTATAGCATATGTGGAAGTAAAACAGCAATAAGCCAAGAAAACAAAATGAAAGGCACACAGAAAGGAAAAAGTAAAACTATTTACAAAGAATATGATTGTCTATGCAGAACATCATAGTGAAACTTGAAAGAATTAGAACACAGTTGTTCAAAATTGCAGGATACAACTAAATATGCAAACAGAAATTATATATTCTCACCCCACAAGTGGATACTGAAATTTTTTAAATGTCATTTATTATGACATCAAAATTATGAAATTCTTAGGGATAAACTTACCAACAAATATACAAATCTTATAATGAAAGAAATGTTAAAATAATTTTTAAAACTAGGGTTAAAACACTTTCATGGATAAGAAGATTCAATATTGTTACGTTAATCCTTCCCTGATTTACCTACAAATGCAATGTTGTCCCAATCAAAAGCTAACCAATTAATTTTATAGAGATAAATAAGCTTCCAAGCATGATGTTACACACCTGTGTAATCTGTATCAGGAGGTTGAGGCAGGAGCATCACCAAAAGTTCAAGGCCAGCCCAGGCTACATAGTGAGTTCAAGGTCATCCTGAACTACATAGTGAGACCCTATCTCAAATTTTCTTAAAAAAACAAGCTGATTCTAAATTTATATGTAAATTCAAAGAACCCAGAATAACCAAAACAATTATGAAAAAAGGAAAAACCAATTAGAATAACTCATAAAAGACTTGCTGTCATGACAATGTGGTACTAGAGTAAGCATAAACATGTACAGAATAGAAGAGAAAATCCATAAAGTGATCCACAAATTTAAGGTTATTTTATTTTTACAAAGGTGCCAAGGTAATTCAATGGGGAAGGCCAACCTTTTTGGAAAACAGCACCAGAACATTTGAATAAACATGTAGGGGAAAATGAAGCTCGATCCTTAAGTAACAAAATAATTCAAAATCTTTCACAGACATAAATTCAAGATACAGAACAATAAAACTTCTAGGAAAAAAAATCTTTATGTTCTTAGATAAGGCAATTTCTTGAAGATGGCACAAAAAGTATGTGCTAAATAAACTTCATCAAAATTAATAATTTTGCTCTACAAAAAAGAAAATGGAACACTAAGTCATAGTTTGAGAAGAAAATACTTGCAAAACATATAAAAGATTTAAATCCAGGTTATATATAAAAAATAACAGCCTGATTCCAAAAATAGGCACAAGACCTGAACAGACATCTTAACAAAGAGATATACTGATGACAGCTAAGCAAAGAAAAGATGCACATTATTAGGAGTTAAGGAAATGTCAACTGAAACCACAATGAGTTAAAACTATATATCAGTGATGGCAAACCTTTCAGAGACCAAGTGCCCAAACTGCAACCCAAAACTCATTTATTTATCTCAAAGTGCCAACGCTGAAAAATAAACCTGAATGATTGCTGCTGGAAAGACTGCCTGGGACAGACGAGGTTCTGCATGCCCACTGCAGCATATGTGCCATAGGTTCGTCACCACTGCTACATACTCAAAAAAGTTAAATTTTTTTCCCATTAGGCTGGGGGTAGCTCAGTGGCACCACATCTGCCTGGCAAGTGCAAAGTACTGAGTTCAATCCCTCATACTGAAAAAAAAAAAAAAAATCCCATCGACTATATTAAATATGTTAGCGAGTATATGGAGCAACTAGATTTCTTATACATTGTTGGTGAAAAGCAAAATAGGACAGCTACTAAATGCTTTGGTGGTTTCTATCTATCTAATCCACCTATCCATTCATTCATCCATTCCTTCATTCACACACATCCCCAAAGTACTGGGCTCGAGCCTGGGGCCTCATACATACTAGGCAAAGGCTCTCCCACTGAGCTTTACCCAAGCCCTTTTTAAGTTTTATTTTGAGACAAGGTCTCGCTTAACTAACTGCCCAGGCTATCCTCAAGCTGTGACTCAAATGCCTCAGACACCCAAGTAGCAGGGATTACAGACATGCACTACTAGGCCCTGCTTTGGCAGTTTCTTAAAAAAAGACACATACTTACCAATGACCCAGTAATTCCCACATAAGTATTTACCTAAAAGTAATGAAAACAAATGTTTACAAAAAACATATTCATAGCAGCTTTACTTATAACAGCCAAAAAGTGGAAATAAATAAAATAGAAATAAGCTGCTAAATGAATAAACAATTATTAAATATCCACATAATAGAAGAATACTTCTCAGAAAAAAGGAATGACTTGTTAATATGCAGCAACATAGATACATCTCAAAAGCATTATGCCAAGTGAAAGAGTCCAGAACTAAAGATTTCACACCACATAATTATGTGAAATTATTTTAAAAAGCCAAAAATATAGTAACATTTAGCAGATCAGTGGTTGCCTGAAATCACAGGCGGGCACTAAGGGACTTTTGGAAATGTTGAAAAATGTATATCCTGATTATAGTTACATGGTTATAGTCACAGACTATGCATTTGCTAAGACTTTGGTGAATTATATTCTGTGTAGATTATGTATAATCAAAGTGACTTAAAAAAAAAAAGATAAGCAGATAATGTAATACCTATCTATTCTTCCTTTTTTTCCAAACCATGTTTTTCTTCCTTTTTTTTTTCTCCTCTTCTCAGTTTTTTGAGATAGGCTTTCACTATACATTTCAGGCTGGCCTTTAATCCAGGCTGGACTTGAACTCACAGAAATCCTCCAGCCTCAGTCTCATGAGTGCTGGGATTAGAGGCCTGTGCCACCATGCCCATCTCCCAAACCATGTCTTAGGGAGGCTACAGGGATCAAACTGGCCAGTTACTAGTACTGCTGTGATGGGAACAGCTTCTCAAAGGATCAAACTCCTTTGCTCTACCTCCATATTTACAAAGGGACTTTACAATCTTTATCTCCTTGAGAATCTCAATTAAGATCCAGAGAAAGCATCATAATTACTGTTAAGGATACCTTCACTTCAATGTAAAGTATGCAGTGATATACATGGAAATTGCCATGTTATTTGCTTGGCAGTAAGTTACTATTTAGCTGAATGGCACTGGAAAAGCATTATCAAATTCTTCCTCTACTCTTTGTCCAGTATGAATCTCCTGAATTATCAGCTTGAATGTCTCAACCTTCCAGTAAATACTTACCTCACTGTAAGAGACAATAAACTGATCTGATCTCTATTCTACTATCAATTCCCTCTTTACATCTCCCATGGGCACTGCTCTAGCCCAATGACCAGAGTAGCATGGATTTGGGAAGATGGGGTTCAAACTCTACTTACTGAGATTTCCAAAACCAGGACAGTGGAATGGAAGAGAATGGAATCCCTTCATCATACACATACATACCACAGGTATTTCACTAAAATTTTATTTTATTTTATTTTGGTACCGAGGATCAAACTTGGGGCCTTATGCTTGTGAAGCAGGTGGTGGAACAACTGTCAATAAAACATTTTAAAATATTGTAAGGCAGAGCTCGGCAGGAAAGGGGAAAGACATCCCTAAGGCCAGAAAGGAAGACAGAAATCAAAGGAAGAGCAGTAAGCAGAAGTTGACACTCCACGGCCAGCATTGAAAACCTGGATACCTACATAGGGATGAAAAATACAGGCAGTGAATTTGAAATAAAAGCCACAAGAATTGTCTGCCTAGGGTGGAGGAAATTTGATAAATCAAAACCATTAGAGTCCAAATTTGTTACCTCCAAAGTACAGGAGCTAAGATCACAGTCCAGAGTCATTAAAATCCCAGGCAGCCCAACAAAAGCAAACAAGAAACTGTTCTAAAAGAACACATTAAGGCTGGGGATGTCACTCAATGGTACAGCACTTGTCTAGCATGCATGAGGCCCTGCGTTCCATCCTCAGTTCAGGCGGAGTGGTGCGGGGGTGCATTTTCATAACCCACAACATGTGAAACTTCATAAACCCACTTCTGATGATAAACTAGCAATAAGAAATTTCAAACTACATATGTCTACAAACTATCATCAGGAAGAGATAGTGCACAAAACAGAATTCAGACCTCAAGATTTAGAAATATTAGAAAAATCTGAAATAAATTACCAAGTATGCTTAGCATGAGTAAAATTTTTTACACTGACATAACAACAAAAGGAGGAGAAAATAGGGAAAAGAGTAAAAATACATGAAAAAGACCAAGTAGAAATGAAAAATAGAGACAATGTAATTAATATTTCAGTAACTGCCTTAAATAGCAGTTTAGACACAGTTCAAAAGAGAGTTAGTGAGCTGGAAGATTGCTAAGACAAATCATCCAGAACACTGCACAGAGAAATAACAAGATGGAAAATACTATTCAGTAATGAGAGGACACATGAAGGGTGGCATGCAAAGGCCACAGGTAAGTACTGCAAGAATGAATGAATGGGGCCAGGGATTTAGCTCAGTGGTTCTGCCCCTGCCTTACAAGCGCAAGGACACGAGTTGGATCCCTGTTACAAAAGGAAAAAAAAAAAAAAAGGAATGAATGAATGAATGGATTCCAGAAGAAGTTACTGAAAATGAGAAGGGGTAATATTCAATGAGATAATGACTAAATATTTTTCACAACTGAAAAAAAGATGAATATTCAATATGAAGCACAAATATTAAACTCAATAATTAATAACAAGTTCAGTTCCTGATGCACTGCAGAATACCAGTGGCCAAGAAAACAGAGAAAAGTTGAAAATAAAACTCCAGATTTCTCACTAAGACATTAGAGGGATACTGTATAACCAACAGGAGTGACAGACCTTGAGTCACGATTCCTGATTCTGCTACCCAGCTCTGCCTCTTACTAAGTATGTGACCTTAAATAAGTACCTCACATTTCTGATTCTCAGTTTCCTCAGCTTAAAAGGAATATAGCAAGCCAGGTACAGTGACACATGCCAATAATCTCTGTTTTTTGGGAGGATGGAGCAAGAGGATAATAAGTTCCAGGCCTGGCTGAGCAACTACCTCAGCAAGACTCTGTCTCAAAATAAAAAAATAAGGGTTAAGTATGTGGTTCAGTGCAAAGGCCTTGGGATTAATCCCCAGCAGTGAAAAAACAAAATGTGGTGAGGGGCAATAGCTGCCTATCTCAGGTGATTGGTGTAGTATGGACAGAATGATATAAGATAGATGATATGTAGCCACATAGTTATATAACATCTGACAGATTTAAATTCTTTGGATTAGCTGTTATTACTATTAGTTTTAAAATATTAAGTGTTCTATATTACTGATACTCCTCTCCAGAGTTCAGGACAATCATAACCACTAACAGTACAGGGAAGGGGAATGAGAGGAATCCTGGAAAGGAGAAATTCAGACAGAAGTGTCTTCTATTAAACTCTGTCCTGACCTTGGCTTAATCCCTGAACGCTACATTTGTATGGCAAACTACATGACACACAGCTAAGGCTAAAAGAATTGAAGTGAGATTTGGAATATTATTCTGTACAGGAAAAATGAGTTAATAGTTTGACCCTTTTTTTTTTTTTTTTTTTTTTTTTGGTACCGGGGATTGAACTTGGGTCCTTGTGCTTGCAAGGCAGGCGGCAGCACCACTCACTGAGCTAAAATCCCCAGCCCTGACCCTATTTACTTTAAGTGCCTACTAAAACAAAACAAAACATCAATACTCTCTGGAGGCACACACAGAAACCAGAGATTCTACAACACATAATATTCAAAATATCTTGGTTATAGTTCAAAAGTCTTCAATGTATGAAGAAAATAGGAAACCATCAACTATTTTAAAAAGTAAATATCAAAACAGACTGACTCTGGAAGGGACACAAATGTTGAAATTACAGACAAGGATTCTTTAAATAACTATTATAGCATTTATGAATATAAAGGAAAATGAGTGAAAAGATAAAGAATCTCAGCAAAGAACTGTCACTGTATTTATAAAAGGGCATCATATGAAAATTCCAAAATTGAATTAATATCAGAAAATTTTTAATTCACTGAACGGACCTAACAGAAGAAATTGTTTCTTTTTTTTTAACATAGCCAATGTTGACTACAACAAATGCTAAATGATCTGTAGACTGAAGTGGAAAAATACAATTTGGTAACTTTTATCTTACAAAAAAAAAACAAAAAACAAAGTGCACTGGAAATGCTAAATAGAAAAAAACTACCTTTCTCTTGCTTTCTTTAAAATATACAGAGTCAGTCATGGTAGTTCATGCCCATACTCTCAGCTACTGGGGAGGCCAAGGCAGGAGGATAACAAATTCCTGGCTATGCTGGGCAATCTTGTGAGATCCCATCTCAAAATAAAATAAAAAGGGCTGGATATAGCTTAGCACTAGAGTGCTTGCCTACCATGCACAAGCTTGAGACCCTGTGTTCAATCTTCAGTACCACACACACACACACACACACACAAAGAAATTAAAGGGAAGAAAAAATATGTTTCCTTAAAAGTGTGGTTTAAAGCAAAAATTATAACTTTGTACTATGAAATTTATAACACATTTAGAGGTACCATATATTGAAAACTATGACATAAAGTGGACAGGAATGCAGTGAATGGAACTATATAACTGTTAGATTTCAACATTTTACCTAAAGTCATACAATGTGAACTATGAGAAGACTTTCTGTCTCCACGACTAAACTTGGAGGTCCTTTAGACATTTGGATCATATCATATAATGCCGGACACATAGCAGACAATAAATATTCCTTTCTGCAGAAATCAGACTCCTGAGTCTTTGATTATCAGGATCATGAGAGCCCAGCAATCTCAGAGAAAAGTGAGAAAATCTAGCTTTCCCAAGACAAATCTGAGATGGAACATCTACCTTAAAACCATGCAAAGCAACACTCAAAGTATGACTTCTAAGGCAACCAACAACACTAATTAATTCACTTCTACTTGTAAAAATGAGACATCTAATTTCATAAGAGAGGTAAAACAGGACCAATACTATCATGTAAATGCTAAAATAAAATTAATGAATTCTAATATTTGACACAATGTATATGAATTCATCAGAAGTGTTCAATCATCCCAACAATAAACACAGTAGAATTAAATTTTAGTAACTCACAGTAAGTGTATGAGGAA